GATGCCATTTGAGAACTGGATGATCTGTACAGTGAGGGAGAGCCCCCCTTTCCTAAGTGAGTGGATCTTATCCTCTGAGGGTACTAAGTGGAGGAAGAGGATTTTTGGCACATGTGGAAGAAGAATATTCATTAAGATGATATTAGCACTACTGGATATTTTTTTTATAAGAGTTGGACTGTTTTTGGACTTTCGGGGGAGAAAGTGTACTTTGGCGTCAGGGGTTTTTCATTTGTTATATTTTGGTTTATTACTTTTGTGTCATCACATAGTATCACACAGGTACATGTATTTATTAGATACTGCATTTGATTGTTTTAGTGTACAGAGCACTCATTTTATATATGTTTTTGATATTTTCTGGTGTTCAAGAAAGAGTAGCAGCAGGTCACTGTATTTATTCATATATTTATTCATTTACTGTCATTTATTTTGGATTGTATTTTTTGGGTGTAGCGTAGGTTTTTTTTTCTTTTCACATAAACCCCTATGTGTCTACCAAAGCACTACAGACCCTCCAGGCCATTCTAATGGAGCCAGCAGGCCAGATTATTGCTGTGTCCCATAGTCTGGGAGGCAGAGTAGTTATAAAGTACTTTGTTAAAAAGTTCAGGCTTCCATAAAACACCTGCAGTCCTCTGAGTATCATAACAGGAACAAAAATTGGAACTAAATAGTACAGAGTGTAGAAGGTGCTAGGTATGTACAAACTCTAAACAGTGACATCTACAGGCCGGAGGAAGGAACCCCAACTGTAACCACCTCCTTCATTGTCTTCCATGTCATTATCTACTGTATATGTTGCAGAGAAAAGAACAGTACAGTGGGCTTCTCTCTTCAGTTCACTGTGTCCAGTTTAATAAACCTTGCATTGTGGGACAATGTCCAAAATCCTAGGACCAGTAGGGACTAGGCAGGTGCGGGGGGTGCAATGACACTGTTCTAATGACACCGGGCAGGAAGGGGTTAACATCTGGGGCAATCAAAGGGTTAACTGTGTGCTGTGTTCTACTCAGAGGGCATGCTTCTTTGTATCTCTCTGCTGTGCATGATACCCATGCTGACAGGAGAGAGACTTGTGTTGCTTACACACCGGTCTCTCCGCTACCAGCTTTCCCCAATGACCGCTGAGTGGTTTTGAAAGTAAGGATGGGTGTCTCCTGCCTTCATGTAACACTGTACCCCACTGGCATCCTGAGGCAGGTGTGGGGGGTGCGGCCCGCACCGGGAGACACCTAACACACAGGGTGACATTGGACCTGCTCCATGAAAAGGATCGGAGCATAATAGATCAGAGTCTAATACATTATGCTCCCCAATCCGCAGATCCAATCCATCCTGCGTGGATCGTCGGCTTGCTTTACAACTTACCTTTTCATGGAACGGGTCCGGTGTCACCCCGTATAGGTTGCATGCCGACGACCCCTGCAGCATGGATCGGATCTGCGGATTGGGGAGCATAATGGTCGGAGGGGGTGTCACCAAGTGTTATCGCACCGGGTGACACCAACCCTAGGGACACCCCTGCCTAGAATTGCCCTTCTTATAAACCTATGCAAATACCATCATTGCATCTATTACATGCACATAGTGGTCAGAATACAATATTTTCATGTGATAGTATTTCTTTAACAATGTAAATACATGTCTGATTAGGTGTGATTGCATTTTTTATGTGTGATTTGCACTATTATGAAGTAGGGCTGTCAATGGCTGCTGAGTCAGTCGGGGTGATTTACAAATGGCAAATAGGCTGTACACTTTGCAAGGGAATTGCCACCAAAGCTTAGTGAATGCGGTGTATCTCTGCTGACTTCTATCATCTGTTCATGTGCAAGCAAAGATGCTGTTGTTTTTATTTTCCATGCATATGATTGGTCCTTTGAAAAAATTAAATTTCAGCTCATTTACTAGCAAACAGCCCAATTGCCTTTAATAAATCAACCATGGTGACTCCAAGCTGGAGAAGACCCATTCAATATGCCATATACAAATTCAGGACTCCATATACTAATTGTGAAGATCTTTCGGACTAAAATTAGGCCTAAAAGGTTTTCTGTTAAGCAATACATAGAAGCAAATAAAGGGAGTGTTTGGCACGCATTTCTGAAGAGCAGCTATTCACTGGAAACGGTTTCCCTTAACCTCCCTAGCGGTCTGATTATGTCAGTATTTCTGTGCTCAAAACGGTACATTGTTTTGCATGAAAATATGTTGTTTTTTTTATTGTAGGTCTGTAATTCTTAGGAATAACTCACTGAAATCTGTCTGAGCAAGAGTCTAGTAAACATCCCGGGTAGGATAAAATTTGAAACACGAAATCATAAATTATAATATAATAAATCATAAAAAATAATAATATAATAATAATACATTTAATTCAATAATATAATCAAACCAAAAACACTGAAATGTGAAATATAGCGCCAAGTTCGCACATCGCTGAGCAAAGTCGCAAAATTGTTTTCAATGCCTGATGACAAATTTCCTCACGAATCATTATCACTCAATTCTGCAAGTGGTTCTAATTTACTATCGCTGTTCTCTAGCTGGTCTAAAACCACTTTTGACCTAAAGGGACGCTTTTTGGACGCCATGGACGTTTCTCAGTTTCCAGGCAGAAAGAACAGTAAAAATGCAGTCAGGGCACAGGACAAAGCACTCGGGACAAAATGTATGTGAAATGGTTTGATACAGGAATGTTCTACTATGTGAGTTTAGTGTATTAGTAAATGTCACATTTTAAAATTTTTTAATTTCCCGCCGGTTCTGGCCCCCGTACGTCCCAACGCTCGCAGGGACCGGAACCCGAAAGACGGATGCTGCAGGGGGGACATCACGGGAGCACAGGACAAGGTAAGTGCAAGAGGGAATCCCAGAGCAACGCGTTTAACTCGGGGTTACCGCTTTTGGTACTGAAACTTTGCCCCGAGCTACACTCGGGAATACCCCAGGGGGGATAAGCTCCCCTATGGTCACAGTTGAGGGTGTACACATCCCCTCTGTCATGTTCAGTACTGCCCATCAAATGCAAACCATTCATTTAGAATGCTGCCACACAGCAACTGCCCAGCAGCTACATGCAATGCACATGGTTGCAGCATGGTCATGTCGGTTTTTAGGGGTTAAAACGTGGTGAGGAGGCAAGACAATGCTTGTCAAATGGCTTGAAACAGTCCTTTTAAAAAAACAGCTGAAGTTTAGGTTGCTTGTAAGCCATATAGCCTTAGTCTTGTTGCTAAAACAGTTTCAGGACCACGGACAGCACTAAAGACTTAGTGAATCAATACCTGGCATTTAAAACGCGCATACCAGATACAGAAGATTCCCCTGCAGTGATTGTTTGGTGAATGTTAGGCTAGGTTCACACTTGCGTGTTGACCAATGCACAAAATGGCACCCCAACGCACCTTGTTAACAAAGTACCATTTTTAAAAAATGGTTCTTCGCTTATTTTGTGTGATTTTTGTGTGTAGGGAAGTCTATTGAATCCAATGGGCTGCCTTAAACACGTTGTGCAAAATCGTGCAAAAACGCATGCATACCATCGCACCTGCTTATGTGTGAATAGAGCCCTTAGCGCTTTGAAAACGTGCACGAGCACGAAACGTGTTAGGGAGGATCCCAGCTAGTGACATCATGCCGCACAGGCCATGAGGAAGGCCGGTGACCATCTTTGATACTGTTTTACATGCCAGATGTGAGTGCAAATATTTTTGTTTCTATACTCTATTAATAAAATACTACATTATTAGAGATTTCTTCTCTGGCTCATTTGTTACGAGCCCCTTAATGTGGATTCCTGTTATTACCATTTTACACCTATGACTGGTCCTTAACATGGGATGGGATGTTTTCCTGGAGCTGGAAAGTAATAGTCTGCTGATCACCTGATGTGCTGACATGTGCCAGATGATCTTTTGAGTTACCCTTTCGGGTCCAGATGACCAGGAGTGGTTTGATATACTCAAATGCACAATTTATTGTGCTTTCTGGTTTGTGCAATATACATTAGTTTTCCAGCCACTGGAGTCACGGAATTCACTTTATACCGATTTTGGACTTGAAATTTATATATCAATTTATCTTTTTGTCACTACTGCACTTTATACGTCATATTTGGACGTTATTATCAACATCTAATATAGCGCTCAACAGCGCATGTTTATACGTTTGTTACAGTATACGTATATGACTATATATTTATCACTTGTTTAGCGCTGCATTTGCTATTATTGGAGCCCTTAGATTAAATGCTTCCTAAATAAGCCCCTATATCTCATACTGACGTCAAATTGCGGCCGCCATCACAAGGCAAACCAGACGGGTTCTATCTTTATCCTAATGAAGGAGTTCAAAGTCAAATTTTTATCCTTACTTTATAATTTCTGTGGAATTCATTCCCTGATTGCAGCACTCCTGTGAGTTGTATTGCCATGAGCGTTCCTTCATAAAGAACATCAGACTTGTCTTAATGAATATCATATTTTATTTATAAACATCCAGAGAGTTGTAATAATGTCAAAGATTCTTAAATTAGACAGCGTTCATCTCTTCTGCCATTATCAAGTGGCCCGGGAAAAGTATTTAGGGGGGAATAACATTTTATAGAAACCTTTTTATTTCCAATGAATTTTACATAATCACAATCTTTTCTCATTCCAAATTTAAAAAATTTGAACATTTAGTGTGTGGAATGTACAAGTCAATTTAATGTGTTCCAATAAGTGCTGTTAGACAGTCACTTGTCTTGGTCAATTTCCGATTAATCACAGTACTGGTTAGGTGGTACACAGCTCACTGCCAGTCACTGAACAAAGGCAACTGATTGAAGAAATCTTCAAGCTCAGGCTGATCCAGCGATGGAAGAAAGTTTTCTGACCTGGTGGGCTCCCCTATTACTCTGTGGCAATTCCAAATTGTTTCTCTACCTCAATTTTTCCACAATCTACAATGACCACACCTTTGAGAGTCTTGTCTCTGGAAACTGTCTTTGTGGATTAAATTTTTCTAACCACATCCTCTCCTTCTAGCACTTTACCAAACATCAAATGCTTCCCATCCAGCCGAGACGTCTTAACTGTGGTGATGAAAAACTGCCATCCATTTGTGTCCTTGCCACCATTTGCCATGCTCTCCCAGTAAGGACCATAGTGCTTCAGCTTCAAGTTTTCATCAGGGAACATGTCCCTATAGATACTTTTAGTGAAATCTCCTCCTTGAATCATGAAGTCTTTGATCATATGGTAGAATTTACTGCCCTTGTAACCAAACCCTTTCTCTCCAGTTGACAGTGCAACAAAGTTATCAACAGTCTTGGCTACAGTTTTACCAAAGAGGCCAATGACTTCTCTTCCGATTTCGTCATCTCCAATCTTGATGTCAAAGTACACCTTGACAGTAACTTTGGGTCTCTTCCTCTTGTTTTTGGCCTGGGATGCACTAGGGAAGAGCAGGAAGAAGATGGAGCCCAAGATAAGGCTCCTGCATGCAATTCTTTTTTTTTTGTATTTTGTAGAAACCTTTTTATTTCCAATGAATTTTACATAATCACAATCTTTTCTCATTCCAAATTTGAACATTTAGTGTGTGAAATGTACAAGTCAATTTAATGTGTTCCAATAAGTGCTGTTAGACAGTCACTTGTCTTGGTCAATTTCCGATTAATCACAGTACTGGTTAGGTGGTACACAGCTCACTGCCAGTCACTGAACAAAGGCAACTGATTAAAGAAATCTTCAAGCTCAGGCAGATCCAGCAATGGAAGAAAGTTTTCTGACCTGGTGGGCTCCCCTATTACTCTTTGGCAATTCCAAATGGCTTCTCTACTTCAATTTTTCCACAATCTATAATGACCGCACCTTTGAGAGGCTTGTCTCTGAAATCTGTCTTTGTGGATTTAATTTTTCTAACCACATCTTCTCCTTCTAGCATGTTACCAAACACCACATGCGTCCCATCCAGCTGAGATGTCTTAACTGTGGTGATGAAAAACTGCCATCCATTTGTGTCTTAGCCACCATTTGCCACGCTCTTCCAGTAAGGACCATAGTGCTTGAGCTTGACGTTTTCATCAGGGAACATGTCCAAATAGATACTTCTACCTCTTGTACCATCTCCTCTAGTGAAATCTCCTCCTTGAATCATGAAGTCTTTGATCACACAGTAGAATTTGCTGCCCTTGTAACCAAATCCTTTCTCTCCAGTTGACAGTGCAACAAGTTATCAACAGTCTTGGCTACGGTTTTACCAAAGAAGCCAAAGACTACTCTTCCGATTTCGTCATCTCCAATCTTGATGTCGAAGTAGCCCTTGATGGTAACCTTGGGTCTCTTCTTCTTCTCTTTGGCCTGGGATGCACTAGGGAAGAGCAGGAAGATGATGGAGCCCACGATAAGTTGCCTGCATGCAATTTTAGCTTTCTGCTGCAGTGTCCCTGAATTCCTGATACTAGATGATTTAGTTCAATCCCATTTTATTAGTTTTATAGATTTCAAGGAACACAGAAAAAAAAGGCATCACAATTCGTGTAAAGTGTGAAACGACTAAGCATCAGATACATGGTCATATCATGATAGCACTCGGGAACAATCCAAGGACTTGTAACAAAACACAATTAAGAAAGTGAACGGCACTAATAATTGCTGTGGGCAATAAGAAATCCAAGTGTCTAGTGGTGAGAATTCAAGTCTCAAAATCTCATATAGCAAAGGGAAAAAATGTGCATTACATGAGACAAGAAAAAAGAGGCAGAAAAAAAAAAAGGGAGGGGGTTGGGATATTAGGCCCCATTCACACTTTGAGCGTTTTGTAGCTCGAAGCTCTAAAACGCTCAACAAGTAAAAACCTATTGTTTTCAGTAGCCCTTGTTCACATATGAGTGTTCTGTCGCTTGTAGCAAAACGCCTGTCGATTAAAAAAAGTACATGAGCTACTTTTCAGGCAGAATTGAGGGTTTTTGTCCCCATAGACTTCCATGGAAATGCCTGAAAAGCGGGACATGAGCCTTTTTGAGCATTTTTTCAAGCGTTATTTCAAGCGTTTTGTCATTTTCTCCTCAAACAGCAGCTCTCTGTCCTTTTTTTCAGCAGCACTCCAAATGTCTAGTTGAAAAATGCCTGACAAAAGCTGCAAAAATGTGAAATTCTGCCCAAAAATGGTCAAAAACATGTAAAAATCGCAAGGCTTTGGTGTGAATGTAGCCTTAGGCCCCATTCACACGTGGGTGTGTGTTGGATTGCGGGCAGAATTGCTGTGATTTCAAAACGCTCTCCTAAAATAACAAATTGCACAACAGCATGTTTAGGTGCCATTCATTTAACTGGAACCTAAAAACACGATTCAGTTCTGCTGTGATTGTTGCACAATGAATTGTGCTGCAATTGCGAGAAGCACGTCTCCCAAAAGAACGTTCAAAGAAATTAAGAAGCATTTGCCTGCATTTTCCCCATATCACTTCCGATGATTTCCATGCAATTTCCAGTGGACTACTGATGCAACTTTGATGAGACTTCAATGCGGCTTCACAAGTTCTCAAGTCTGGGTTCACAGAATTGAATGACAAAGGAAATCTCATTCTATCGTCAGCGATTTCAGCCCCATAGACTTCCATAATCAAGTCAGCACAGTGCAATTTTGGAAAAGGTTCCTGGTGGACTTCAGGGCGATTTCAGCCCAATAGACTTCTATGTTATCTCACAGAAGTCCATCAGAATAGATAGGAAACATTCCTATACGACTATAAGGATCAGTGTTTTTTTTTTTTAACCCTCACCTTTCCTCCCTCATCCTTGCTGTCTTCACACTGAAGCGGTTTTGATCCACCCTTTGATTGATCGATCCTTCCTTCAATCAATAGATTCTTCTTTCATTCGACTGTTTGATCCTTACTTAGATCGATAGATCCTTCGATCAAACAATCGATCCTTTATTTGATTGACCGATCAATCTTTCCTTTGATTGACTGATCGATCCCTCCTTTGACCACCAATCGATCTTTCTTTTGATCGGCTGATCGATCCTTTCTTTGATCCTTCCTTTAACCCCTCGGCGCCGGTGCCTCCAGGCCCTTTAAGGGTTTCAGAAGCCGGGAGGCGGAACAGGGTTTAGGGTCATGTGACTGATGTGACACGCCATCACGGCAGTCACATGATCGGGGAAGGTCCCTAATCGAAAGAGGGGAGTTCGGACTTTTCTGTGAGTACTGGAGCATGTGTGCTGGGAGCACGCAGGGCACGCACTCTCAGCACATTTTTTTTTATAGTATGCAAATGTGCGGCCACTCGGCGTCTAGGCCAAGACGCCAGGGGCTGCACACTTGCTTTCGACTGGCGTGAAGAGGTTAATAAACGAAGGAAGGTTTGATTAAAGGAAAGATTGAACAATCAATTGAAGAAAGGGTCGGTCAATCGACCAAAGGAAGGCTCCAAAACTGCAGCTGTATAAAAATCAGCGGATGAAGGATGACCAGGGAGGTGAGGTGAGGGTTAAAAAAAAACCCACGAATCCATCAAAGTCGCATAGGAATGATTCTTAACTATGCTGATGTGACTTGTTGAGATAACATAGAAGTCTATGGGGCTGAAATCGCACTGAAGCCCACCAGGAACCTTTTCCAAAATCGTACTGTGCTGTTGATTAGAAGGGCACCATTTGATATTATGTGATTTGCCTTGTCATACAATTCTGTAAACCAGGGCCTGAGAACTTCCCACAGCTACATTGTGTTTTTGAGGTGTTATTCATGCGTTTGTGATGCTGTTTCTATTCATTTCAGTGGAGGGATGCGTTTTTTGGGGCATTTTTTTTTTACCGGACCAAACATGCACCAAAAATGCAGCAAGCAGGATTTTTTTTTTCCTCCCAGATCTGGACCAGGCCATCACTGAGCTCCTGGACAGTCTGAGGTGCAACCTGGTGGTGTCAGATGGATCCAAACATGATATCCCAGAGGTGTTCTATTGGATTTAGGTCAGGCAAGTGTAATAATTAATTCATCCTCCAGGAACTGCCTGCATACTCCCCACATGAGGCCAGGCATTGTTGTGCACCAGGAGGAACCCAGGACCCACTGCACCAGGAGGAACCCAGGACCCACTGCACCAGCGTAGGGTCTGAAACTTGGTCCAAGGGCCAAAAGCAAAACTAGTGAAAAAAAATAAAAAGATGAATAGGGAAAACAATGTCAGTGGACTCCACCTGTAAAACCATTCCTGTTTTGGGGGGTCGTCTCATTGTTGCCCATCTAGTACACTTGTTAATTTCATTAACACCAAAGCAGCTGAAACAGTTTTAACAACCCCCTCTGCTACTTCACTGACCAGATCAATATCCCAGGATTTTCAATGACTTGACGCTATTTTCTGAATAAATATTTTTTTGAGCAGTGTATTATTTTATAGATTTCAGGTCTATACTAAAACTAAAAAGTCTCTAATTTGCCTTTAAATTTGAACCGAAATGCGGCGCACACAGATCGCGGCTACCTCTGTGTTCTCAAAGCTTGCTATGGCATTTTGTAAACCGAACATGAAAATCATTTTCCTTGAAGATGGAAATCAGGGAGCTGTTAGCTAGCCTTTAATCCGGTCTACAGACAATAAATGACAGACAGCCGGATGAAAACCCTTCTTGTAACTGTCAGCCTTCTCCTCCGACGTGTCTATCGCGGGCCATCAGTTCTTGCTCCCTCAGCTCTATATAGATGTAACAATTGCGACAAAGTTTAGGAAATGTGCGGCTTCCTAAATTAAACACCGCCATCGCCAGCTGCATGTTTATCAGCCATCTCCCTCCAAAACATGATAGATAACAAGTCAGTGGAATTAATCATATCAAAACCCTTTGATATTGAAAAAGCCGGAGGAGCAAATACCAAGCAGAACGGGAAAAGTTCATATTGTTTATTATTAAAATGACACAAAAATTGGTGTCATGCAGGAGGGAGTTGGCAAACCTAAAATCCTAACATGGAAACATGCCGATTAGACAAGTGAAGAGCTTAAAGGGGACCTGTGAGGGGGACAGCATGGATCTTGCTTACATGTTTTTAAAGTGGTGTTAAAATCAAAAACGAAAATTGATTATATTGTACCGTAGTTGTGTTCTCTGCAGGGCTGCTGTTAGAATCCACGGGGCCCCATACAGCCAACCTAACAGCCTCCTGCAGACTACTATGCTGCAGTTATGAATGAACACAGTGAGTGATAGGTACCAATAGGTGCCAATCACTTATTGTGCTCATTCAGAAAAGAACGGGGCTGTTAAATGCAAAATATTTACTGGACTCTTCCCTCACTCTCCATCATGAAGGATCCTATCGTGTGCTTGCAGCTGCCGGTATGAAGGAGAGGAGGGAAACCGGCAGAACTGCAGGGGTGGGGGTACACAGGGAGTCCTGGGCAGCAGGGGGAAGTATATGGTGCACAGGGAGGGTGATGGGTGCGACGAGGGGGGAAATTACTGGAACCGATCCCCTGTATGGTTCTCTCGGCAGCAGCTGAAAGTCAGCGGGAGGGACAGGAGAAGAATCCAGGTTTCAGCTGCTGCAGAGAGAGCCATATAGGGGATCGTTTACAGTAATTGCCCCCCCGCCATTCCGATCACCCTCCCTGCCCACATCCGATTCACCCAGCTGTCTGGGCTCCCCTGGTGGCCTGGGCCCCATACAGGAGGAATGGTGGTACCCCCTTATCCACGGCCCTGGTTGTCTGCATTCGTTTTCTTTTTTTTTAGGCTTTCCCCCTCTGTTTACCCCTGGTGATCTGGCCAGTAACACACCTCCTGTATTCAAGCGCCCCCACTCTGGATGAAGGAGCACAGGGGGCACCATTGGAGAGCAGGATTGTCAGTCCTGGGGGGGAGGGAGTGTTTGATGTACTAGCAGATTTAGATACACGAACAAATTGAAGCAAACTCAAGCTAATACTTTCTATTTGGTTACAGGAAACAGTTCTGTTTCTTTTGGCATAAAGGTTTTATATAAATAAAGAAAAGCTGATTATTGGAAGCCAGAGGCGGACTGACAACTCATGGGGCCCCCGGGCAATAGGGGATCATGGGGCCCGTGTCCTTGCCATACATGGGCCGGACGGGAAGTGGTTAAACCCTACGTGTGTATGAACACATAGGATAACATGTTGGGGAGTTTACTGGCTGTAGAAAAAAAATGCCAAAAGCCAAAAACAGCCGCTGTAAAAATGTCCAGTGTGTATGAGAACTAAGCCCTCATCCACACTAACTCTGATAACTCTGGTAACATAAGTTGTGTAAAGTCACGTTAAAAACGTAAGTTTTTCAGCGTTTTCGTATTAGCGTTTTTAGTGTGTTTTACTGC